CTTATTCGTATGGCACTAAAAAAGTTTTATGTAATTAGTTTCGATTTTTTTTTTTTTTTGGTGAACGTTTCGATTTTTTAATATGTACTTATCCATACATAAGATGCTCTATTACTCGGTTTAAGAAGGCATAAGCTGTGAATTTAGCATTACTTGTTAAAAGTAACTAGTGCTTATAAAAATAAAATAAAAAATCAACTAGTTATGAGGCCAAATCTAAAATGAATCTTTTTACTTAGGTTGTTTAGTTACTAGTCTCAAGTTCAGTCCTGAACATGTAAATGTGTCAATAATTTGGAAGGGAAAGTTTTGCTACCTTTATTATCCAGCACAGAAATCTAAAAAAGAAATAATAATTTAAATTTTGGTGTCTCGTTTATTATCCGCCAAATTGATGAAGTCATGCGTTGGCAAATTGCGTGATACATGAAGTTAATTATAGCTTCAAACCATTGCTTTTATAAATACAAACTTTGCTAATACGCACACGGCGTCCCTTTTAAAAGTGCTTGAACACCGTATATCGAAACCTCTGCTTTAAGAGTACAACTCCGAGACAGACACAAGGGTCTTATTCAGAAATTTCTCCCAGCTACGCAGTGGAGAAAAGTGTTTTATGGTTTGAGTTGAAAACTACAACATTAATATACAATTCAACATTAATTTTCCTATAAATTCTTCAAATAATCTTGAGTACAAGCACAACACATCTTTCTCACATTTCACTAAACATTGTTAATTGCAATCATTGTCACACTACACTAGCTACCATGGTTGCAAAAATTCAATTGTGTCATATTTCATTGGCATTGCTTTTCTGCTTGGGATTTTGGGCTTTTCAGGTCACATCTCGAACTCTCCAAGATGCCACCATGTATGAGAGGCATGAGCAATGGATGGCTCGCTATGGCAAAGTCTATGATGACCTCCAAGAAAGGGAAAAGCGTTTCATGATATTTCAGGAAAATGTCAATCACATTGAAGCTTTCAACAGTGCTGGCAATAAACCTTACGAGCTTGGCATTAATCAATTTGCGGACCTCACAAATGAGGAGTTCATAGCACCCAGAAATAGATTCAAGGGACATATGTGCTCCTCAATCACAAGGACAACCACTTTTAAGTACCAAAACGTGACTGAAGTACCATCCAAAGTGGATTGGAGACAGAAAGGAGCAGTGACACCCATCAAGGACCAAGGTCAATGTGGTAAGTGTCTCATATTTCATTGAATCTCACAAGTCAAGCCAAGATTGAATTGTCATCTAGCTAACACTAGTTCTAATTCACCTTGTAGGATGTTGTTGGGCATTTTCTGCTGTTGCAGCAACGGAAGGTATCAATATGCTGAGTAATGGAAAATTGATATCTTTATCAGAACAAGAACTTGTTGATTGTGACACAAAGGGTGTTGACCAAGGTTGTGAGGGTGGTCTTATGGATGATGCTTTTAAATTCATCATGCAAAATCATGGACTTAACACTGAAGCTAACTACCCTTATCAGGGTGTGGATGGAACATGCAATGCAAATGAAGAAGCCAAGCATGCTGCTACCATTACTGGGTATGAGGATGTCCCTGCCAATAATGAACAGGCTCTCCAAAAAGCAGTGGCTAATCAACCAATTTCAGTTGCCATAGATGCCAGTGGCTCTGACTTTCAATTTTACAAAAGCGGTGTGTTCACTGGTTCATGTGGAACTGAGTTGGATCATGGTGTCACTGCTGTGGGTTATGGTGTGAGTGGTGATGGGACTGAGTATTGGTTGGTTAAGAACTCATGGGGAACACAATGGGGTGAAGAAGGGTACATTAGGATGCAAAGGGGTGTGGATGCTGCTGAAGGACTCTGTGGCATAGCAATGCAAGCATCTTACCCAACTGCATAATCATATAATTTAGACACCATTATTCCCAAACTGTATGCACTTCTACATGTCTTTTATGTCTCAATTCCCGTTATCATTTGTGTATAACAATGTATCCACTATACGAATCGTTGTACTTATCAATTACTATGCAATGAAAAATTAGTCATGGTTATGATATACAGGTGCATCTCCTGTTTTACGAAGGTGGTGTTTGGTACAAGAAATTTTTTTCAATTCTGAGAAACTGATATTGGTAATGCTATTTACCTACGTTTAGTATAATAATTGTTAAAACTGTTTTGAGAAAATCAAATTCTCATGACTATTTTTTTTTTTTTGAAGCTTTTTGAACAAAAATGCTTTACAAGAATACCACCGGGAGAGTGATATTCTTGGATTCTCATGATATGAAAAATTTTACACAATTTTTTGATAACATTTTTTTAGTATTTTATCTTACGAAATAACTTTTTTATAATATTTCAAAAAAATTTATTTTTCCAACATATTCTTGGGAATTATGATTTCTACGTATAAAAAATTTATTCTCTACTAAACAACCCTAAGTGACTATGTAAAAGGATAACCGCATGCAGTGTGCTGTCTCTATAATGGGAGACGTTTTTTCGTGGACCTGGAGCATGATAATCCATTTTCAAAATAGAAGAAATGAAAAGATTAAGAAGAAAAATACCAAAAAGAAAGAGATAAAAATGAAATATATTTTTTCATACATCACTTGTGTGAGCGTTTCTTTTGTGCTCCGAGTTCACATGGGCCAATTAGAGTGGAAAGAAAGGAGAGAGAGAGGAAGAGAGGAGAGAGAAATGGACTACTAAATATTTTTTCCACCTATGTAGAGAAAACTCGCTTAATTCGCTAATATATAGGCCCAGTATATAAAAATACAAAGCAAAATGATGGCCTGTATGGATTGACTTTAAAAAAAAAAATGCTTTGTTTGTTATAATTTTATTCTTTCTAATCCGGATTTATTTTACATTTGGATACAACGTATACTTTTAATTAAGAAACGGCCTTTTGGATTGACTTAAAAAATGGCTTTTTTTAGAAGGAAAGAAAATTGGCTTGAATTTTGTTTTTTTGGTTTTTTAAGTTAGAGTACGAACACATATTTTTGAAATAAAAAATAGCATTTTGGACAAAATAAAAATAAAAATTCAAACAGCCCTAAATGACCTTAACACAGGATTAAAAGGCTGAGCTTCAAATATGTGGTGGAAAGGAAGCATCATGTAGGATTGTACTTAACGCATGCAGTTCATATTTTTTACATTTCACCTGATGCTTTGTCAGGGGAACAATTGAATCCTTTGAGCAAAATTCTAAAAGAAATTAACAACAGCACCATGAACCAAAACTCGGTCAGCATTAATGTTGGAATCGCTTTTTTCTTGTACAATACAGCGACCAGTGATAATAAAACAACAACTTGATCTATTTGCCCATTTGCCCATTTATTTCAATGAGGTTTAATAAGGAAAACCAAATTAATTACCTTCTGGTTTACAAAATATCAATCAATTACTTTATACATTTTTAATAATTATTCTATAATTTGTATGTGCTTCAAAACTATTTTCAATTATTATTCTTCTTCAAATCCTTTTCATCTGAGAGAATGAGTAATTGTAATTTAAGTGAGTGAAACACTAACCACTACTACAAATGGTTGGCGTGTCAGGTTCAACATATCTACAAAGAAAGAAATTGTTGTGCAGAGTTAATTATCTCTTGGATCACTTGATTATGGAGAATTTCGTAGCTTTTACAATAGTACCTTTAAGGATTTTTTTCTATCAAAAGAAAAAGTCTACTGTTTAATGCAAAATTATCTACTCTTAATATCAATGTATTTAAACCTGGTTGTTTGGGCTTTAGCCCTTAATGGTCCTCCAAAAAAAATTAGGTTATACTTACCATCATTTTAAATTTATTATTTTTATTATTTCATTTGTTATCGTTGCATCAATTAAAAATCAACGGTTGAAAAACAAAAAGAAAATAATTACCATTGTTTTTAAATTGATCAGTTTGATTTACCAAAAAAAATAAAATTGATCAATTTGTAAGAATGATAAATCTAAAATAATGGAGATTACCAAAAAAAAATAATCTAAAATACTGGTAAGTATATCACCCTTTAATGATATATATATATATATATATATATATATATATATATATATATATATATATATATGGGTCAGGATCATTTTACATCAGAGTAAGTTACACTCTCAATCTTGACCATTGATCCTACTTATATCTAAGAGCTCTAATTTTTTAGTAATGTGAGCCATTGGATACAAATAGATCAATGTTCAAGATTGAGTGTAAGACTTCTAACTCTTATACTGGTGTAAGAATATTCTGCCCTATATAAATATATATATATATATATATATATATATATATATATTAATATATATATATATATATATAGGATCCTTTGACACCAGTATCAAATTTTAAATTTGACACCTCATCTAAGAGCCATTAGATCAAAAAAGATCAATGGTGTCACATGCTTACAAATCAAAGTCGTTGATCTTTTTTGATCTAATGGCTCTCAGATGAGGTGTCAAATTTAAAATTTGACACTAGTGTCAAAGGATTTTACCTCATATATATATATATATATATAACATTGACATTTTTAAAGAGAGATATTATCATTTAATAAGTGATCCATTTATTTATCATCATTATAAGGATCCATATAGGACGATGATAGGAATAGGGATGAAAGAGTAGGAAAAAAACAAAGAACTCTAAAATTGCCTCTCTTCGAGGGTAGGCTCTTCCCTCAACCAAAGGTTGTTGATAAACTTCTCAATGCCATTTCAGAAAATGGAACCAACGTTTTATACAAAACCAACAACACTCCCAAATAGAAAAGCAAAACTGACACTAAAAAGTTTAGAAGAACATGCCTCAGAGCACTACGTTTAACAACATCTAATAACAGAATCTAGTAATCAAAAGCAAAACCTCCTAAAAGACACGCAGGTCACCTACTCACAGCTCATATCTATTGCTCATATCAGAAAATCACCTCCTAAAAAAGACACGTAGGTCACCTACTCACAGCTCATGTCTATTGCTCATATCAGAAAATCATTCATCCACCTAGGCTGGGTTTTGTTTCCTTTGGACCACCTAGACTTAGGGCCAGTGTGATGACCCATTTGCTGTTGCTCCAGCCCAATAGCATCAGCTTGATCATTCTCCTCATCTGGTTGGTCTTGCTCAGCAGGGCCTTGTGTATCATCCCCCTTCCCTTTGAAAAATACCTTACCCTCAAGGTGAAATTCAGTTTAAGTAGCAAAGGACTTGTCCGAAGTATCCTGATGAATTGGCTTGAATATGGAGGCATGGAAAAAAAGAATCCATCCAACAATTACCAAGAAGTATACAAGGTACTGCAACCCAATTATGAAAGATAAGAATCCGATAAGTACAAAAACAAGCATAATAGTATTAACAATATTAAGAGCCAAACACATTCCATCTATACTTTGGTGTAGCATCTTTGAATTATCTTTAATCTTATTGGAAAGGTCAGCAGTAGCTGTGCTGATTTTGGTTTTAACATTATTAAACTCCTTTCCAACATCTTGTGGCAAATGAAATACACTAGGTGTAATCTGCGTAGCTGAATCATAATAATATGTCACGTTCCTGAGGTTTTCAGCTATGAATTCGTCCTGACTCACTACATAATCCAATGTGTTGGAGATGCTTCCATGAAAGTTCCCTTGACTAGAGTACAGGACAATGCATCCAACTATTGCGGCAAAGGTTTTGAGGATGGTGAATATTAAGGACAAAGCATAGGCTAATTTAGAACATCCATAAAGCTTTCTAGGATAGCAGCAGTAACACACACAGATGAGATGTAAATAAAGTCCAAAAAGCATGAACCAAGCTACAACAACACCAAAGAAGGGAACCATAATAGAAATAACTGACAGGTCTTCCTTGACCATGGTTATTTTTAAACTAGTCATGATAACATGAAGCACAACACTCCATGCCATGCTTGCAAAGGATAAAAACAAGATCAATTGATAGACTCATGAAAATAGAAACTCCACCATTCTGACCCCATATGATCCAACTATTGAATAATTTCATCCTATTAATATAGCTCTGCATATATGAAAATTTTTCTGAAGAAAACTGGCTATGCTCGGTAGATAAACTTCCAACATTTTGCAGGGATAGAAAAATTAATGTGAAATCAGATCCACCAAGGAAAGCTCCCATGCATACTACAAATCGAATTTGTCAATCTTCTAGATGTAGCAAGCTTTACTTATGTCAATTAATCTAGGAAGTGCATAAAGGATGATAGAAGCAAGTATGGCCATTGGAATGTAGTATAAGGGCCTTGAGAACAATTCCAAACACAGAAGCAGAATAACAACCATCATAATATTTGATACTGCTGTTTGACATGCTGCACCGAAATTCACTGCAGTCCTTGAGAAAGAACATGTTTCCACATAGCATGAAGTGAAAGATCCTGCAATGTTCATATAACCCATTGCTAACATTTCTTTGTTCCCATCAAGATGGTATCTAACACGAGAGGAATCACATACTACAACGGCTAAAGGTGCAACAACTCAACTATCACATACAACGGCTCAAGGTGCAGCAGTAGGATCACCTCATGCAGTGTCCTTAGTATTTGCACCAGCTACTAATCACGATAGATAGCAACTGAATTTTGTTAGCAATTCAGTTATTCTTTATTCTGATTAGTTTTTCTGTTAGTGTTAGTTAGTTATCTTATCGTGTGAAGCTTCATAGAGTTCACCTATATATTGCTGATACTCTTTGTAATAGTTAGTTTTTTTGCTTGTAATGCATTCAGTTTGATCCATTCTATGGAACGCGTGGTTTCTGTTAGTATCCTTTAATGGAAGCAAGAGTAATGATGGCCAAAATAAAACCAATTTTAGCTACTTGTCTAACATGTTAACCATGGAAATGTAACTGGTGAGCCGAACTTGGATTCAGGCCTCCTTTGACATGCTTTATAACCACATTCATATCAGCTTTGGACAAATACACAATTAACGTTGATAATATAACTGATAGAAGAAGAGCAATAGCAGGCAACCATAATTTTTTTTTTTCTGCCAATAAATCAGCCAATTAAAAAGAAAATCAGGACTGAACACCCGATAACAAAATTCAAAGGGTGCCACTTTTCTCCAGATGTAATTTTATGATTGAGTGACTTATAAACAGATTCCAGCACCGACACTGCATCAGTTTTGGTGGTTAAGTGAGTAAGCCCCAGCAACCCCTTAAGCTGCTGAAAACCAATAAGGATGGATGCACCTGCCATGAGTCCTACAGGGGCAACATGTGAAAGAAAATCCACAAGAAAGCCCAACTTAAAAACTCCAAATGCAGCTTGAAAGATTCTGGAAAATAAGGGCATTGTAAAAACAACATTTCTGCAGGATTTAGGATTAGCAGCATGATCTACCACTTTTCGGGCAAGGGATGATAGCAGCAATGACAGTACAACTACAGGTCCAATTGCAATTTCGCTTTAACTTCCCATTAGAGCATAGATAAGACGAGGAACAACACTGGTGTCTGAATATGATAGGTTTGTCACACGACCATAACAAGGCTTTTCTGTCTTCTCACAAACAAAGCTCTTAATGTCACAGGAAAAAAATTTAAAACAAGAACATAAGAGGCCAGCCTCCGTGGCTTGAAAAACAGAGCCAATATGATCAATCATTATTAGCTCATTATTTCCCACTTTTGTTGGCAGGGTTAAGAGTGGCGAAGGAAACACTATCCCCATTTCCAAAGGGACCACAACATGGTCATGCTTTACAACCAACATCAAGTGCACAAAATGCAAAAACACATGGATATTGACATCTACATCGGTCCGCACATTTGGTGACACATAACTCAAAATAAAATGCACCAATCAATAATACCTGGGTATAAGCTTGTTCATACAAGTGAGGAACGATGAATCTAGGAGGATCACTGTCGAGCCAAGGGGGGCCAGTGGTGTCCGAGTCAAACCCCGCTCAAAAGAGAATAGCAAAAAGAGTGATGGCTTCGATTTTGGGATCTGCACCGTCACAAACATAAGCAACTTGATCCAATGGACATGCATCCTCAATTTCATGAATCATCTCACGATTTTTCAACGTGTAATCAATCAGTTGTTCCACCTCTGTATGAGGCTCCTCGTTCTAGTCTATTGCTTCGGATCGGTGAATAGTTAGCTTCAACGAATACTTGCGAAAAGCGTTCTAAATTTTGATAGCTGATTTTTCTTCATATAGCTCATGGATCAATTTATGAAGCAAGCATGTCACGTTCTCGCATGTGGCGTTCACCACTGAAAAACCAGATCGAATCTCCGCAAAAATAGATTAAAGTGATTGCCGGTGAGTGTCATTGATGGAAGGAGTTGTCATGGAGGGTTCATCTCTCAACGAAAGTACCAATTGATACGAACAGGGATGAAAGAGTAGGAAAAAAACAAAAAACTCTAAAAATGCCTCTCTTTGAGGGTAGGCTCCTCCCTCAACCAAAGGTTGTTGATAAACTTCTCAATGCCATTTCAGAAAATAGCGTTGGGTCAATTCGGACTCTCAAGTCGAATGCGGAAGCGAAATAATAAAATGTAAGAGGAGAGACATAGAGAGAGAATATGATCAATTTGTTTAACGTAGGAAAATTTTTTGCAATGTGAAGAAGTAAAAACTCACGGCGGGACACTAGTCTAGAATCAAACATCTATTATAAGAATAATGGGTTACAACAGTCAAACTTCTCTAGTCTTTCACTAGAGGTATAATCAAACTTCACCAAGTATGATGGTAATATCAAACGTCCCTAAAGAGGTCTAACCAGTGTTATAAGAACCGGACCGAACCGGCCGGTTTGAATCAGAAACCGATAAATCAGCCATATGACCGGTCCGGGAAAAGTAATAGATCAGAAATGCAAGTGACCCGGTGTGAATTGGAGTGAACAGGCCAGTTTTATTAAAACCGGTGACTCGCCGGGTCAAAAAAAATATTTCAGTTGGATGAAACCAAACACAGAGAAGGAGAGGGAGGAGGAGGAGACCATGAAGAAGAAGGAGTCGAAGATATTAGAAGAAAGATTGGCCATGAAGAGGCAACGATGTCCGGCCATTAAAGTATGAAGAGAAGACAACGAAGGAGAGAGAAGTTCAAAAACAGTGGTGAAAAAGAAAGAGAAAATGAGAGAGAGAGAGAGAGACTTTGGGAAGTTAAAAAACAGCTGTGAAAAAGAAAGAGAAAATGAGAGAGAGACTTTGGGTTTCGTAATTTGCATGTTGCATTGCACATTTCCACTCATTTCTTATCTTATCTCTTTCTTTTACAATATTTTTATTATTTAAATTTACAATTTTTTATTTCTTTACTTTCACTATCTTCCTGTATGCCACTAATTACTATGATGTCATGATTTTTTTTAAAAAAAATTGAAATATGAAATATAAATTTTAAATTTTATATATATTTATCTGGTTTAAGCGATTGAACCAGTGACCCAGTGGTTGAACCAATGACCCAGTACCTTAACTGGTTCGATCACCGGGCTGGTTCTGATAACATTGGGTCTAACACTCAAACATCTCTTTAGAGGTACTCTCAAATAATCAAACATCTTTTCTAAAGAGGTCTCACTCAAACTTCTCCCTAGAGGTATTCAGTAGGGTTCTTTCTCTCATGGGGGATTTCTTCACCTCACTTTGATGATTTCATCTCTTCCTCTATTTATAGATGGCTAGGAGGAATATCTTCAATGCTCTAGATTCTTCTCCATTTAATGTGGAGGATTTCAATACAACTATTCGTTCTCCCATGAAGTCCTTTCATTTTCCCATGAAGCCTTTTCATTCTTCCATGCATTGGAACTTGTATCTAATTAAGGAGAAATAATCCAACAATTCTCCCCCTTTTCGACTTAATTAGAGGGGATCTTCATATCCGCTTCTTCGCAGCAAGTGTAATCAGTACTCGCTCCCCCTCAAGTAGAAGTCTCTTCTCGTACTCCCAAAATTGAGTACTCATCGTGTCTCCAAACAAGCTCCTAGTCCTTGGATTGAACCTGCTATGATACCACTGCTAGGTCAAGTCAGACCCTCAAGTCGATTGTGGAAGCGAAACAGTAAAATGCACGAGGAGAAAGATAGAGAAGAACATAATTAATTTGTTTAACGTGGAAAAACCTTCTCCAATGTGAAGAAGTAAAAATCCACGGGACACTAGTTCAGAATCAAACATCCACTATAAGAATAATGGGTTACAACAGTCAAACTTCCCTAGTCTTTCACTAGAGGTAAAATCAAACTTCACCAAGTATGGTGATAATCCCTAAAGAAGTCTAACACTCAAACATCTCTTTAGAGGTACTCTCAAATGATCAAGCATCACCTACAATGGTGGTATTCAAACTTCCCTGGAGAGGTCTCACTCAAACTTCTCCATAGAAGTATTCTGTCGGGTTCTTTCTCTCATGTAAGATTTCTTCACCTCACTTTGTTGATTTCATCTCTTCCTCTATTTATAGATGGCTAGGAGGCATATCTTCAATGCTCTAGATTCTTCTCCATTTAGTGTGGAGGATTTCAATACAACTCTTCGTTCTCCCATGCAGTCTTTTCATTTTCCTATGAAGCCTTTTCATTCTTCCATGCATTGGAACTTGTATCTAATTAAGGAGAAATAATCCAACAAATGGAACCAACTTTTTATACAAAACCAACAACACCCCTTAACAGAAAAGCAAAACTGACACTAAAACATTTAGAAGAACATGCCTCACAATGCTACGCTTAACAACATCTAATAACATAATCTAGTAATCAAAAGCAAAACCCCCTAATAGACGCGCAGGACACCTACTCACAACTCATGCCTATTGCTCATATAAGAAAATCATTCAACTACCTAGGTTG